CCTGGGATCCCAACCCGGGCTGCCAGTAGTGGAGTGCACGCACTTAACCACTAAGCCACGGGGCCGGCCCCAAAATATTTGTTTTAAATAGTAGTTTATATGTATGGACAAAAGTACAATGACGTCATACAATTTTTATGATGAATTCAACTGATAATTAATTCCCCTAAAATAAACATAGCTATCGTAAAGGACCAACAGTGTCATCAGTCTTTAAAGTAGCTTTGATGTGTACTTTTGTCTGATGGAATGTGTTTTTAACTTAGTACAGAAATCTTGGTCTATTCAATTTTTGATTTTGATTTAACACTTTTGTCCCTTATTCCCAAGAAACTCCATTCTTGAGCAGTGTTTAAAAACTTTTGATTAGTTTAATTTTTTGCTATATTGTGAACAAAGCATTACTCAAAACAATGGGATTTTTAAAAGCCTTTTATTTTGATATAGTTTAAGACTTAGAAGAAGTTATAAGAACAGTAAAGAAAGTTCTCATGTTCTCTTCACCTAGCTTTCCCCAGTGATAATACATGTCTTCTATAACTATAGTCCATTATCAAAACCAGGACATGGACAGTGGTATAGTTCTATTTACCAAAACCACAGTCCTCCTTTGGATTCCACCAGTTTGTGTATGTGTGTATGGTACCAAGAAATTTTATCATGTGTAGATTCACGCAACCACTACTATCAGAACTGCTGGTAGTGAGTATAGAATTGCTCCATGCAATATAGAACTACTCCACCACCACAGAGAAGATGCTCCCCTTTTATACTCAGACCCTCCTTCCGTCTCTAACCTTTGGCAACCACTCATTGGTCCTCTATCACAATAATTTTGTCATTTCAGGAGTGCTGTGTAAACAGAATCATACATGTATGTGACCTTTGGATTTTTCTTTTAAAAGTGTTCTTTTTTAGAATGTGAATGTGTGCTTGTTGAAAAGCAGTTGATTAATCTGACTCAAGATTTTGCTTCTCCAGAAACATACTAAAACAGAAATTGAAAACCACATGAGATAATGCTACTTGAGCAGGAAAGACATGGCACTTTTCATACTGACTTTTCTGTGAAGTGTTGCCTTCTAAGATTTTGGGTTAATAATCCGCATGAAAGAGTGTGGGTTAAGTGGAGATTTTTCTCCCCCCTACTCCTGTCTTAGTCTGCTCAGGCTCCTATAAGAAAATTCCCACAGACTGGGTGGCTTATAAACATTTTTATTTATTTCTCACAGTTTGGGAGGTTGGGAAGTTCAAGATCAAGGCATTGGCAGGTTGAATGTCTGGTGAGCACCCGCTTCGTGGTTCATAGACAGCCATCCTCGGCTGTGTCCTCACATGGCAGAAGGGGCAAGGGAACTCTCTGGGATCTCTTTTGTAAGGGCACTAATCCCACTCATGAGGGCTCTGCCCTTATGACCTAATTACCTCCCAAAGATCCCAACTCCAAATACCATCACATTAGGGATTAAGTTTCAACATATGAATTGAGGGGTGGGTACACGTGTAGTCTATAGCAGCTCCACCTATCTTAGTTTGGGATATAGGTAAGAAATAGAAGTTTTAGAAAAAGAAGTACTAGTCCTGTACTAGTTGCCCTGAATACCCTGAAAGTTCTCACTGCTGTGGCGAGAAGGCTACCTCGTGGGTTCTGAGGTATAGCTGCCACTGTAGTCTAAGGTACAA